AACAAGCAAAAACAGGAAATAAAAGTGTTGGTAAGGACATGGGGAAATTGGAACCCTTGTGCATTGTTGGTAAGAATATAAAATGTTGCAGCCACATTGGAAAACAGTACAGTGGTTCCTTAAAAAATTAAAAATAGAATTATCATGTGATCCAGCAATTTCACTTCTAAGTATATACTCAGAAGAGTCTGCAAGAGTTATTTGTATACCGATGTTTGCAGCAACATTATTCACAATAGCCAAAAGGTGGAAACAACCCAAGTGTCCACCAGTAGATGAATGAATAAACAAAATGTGGTACATACATAACAACAGATTATCATTCAACCTTTAAAAAGAAGGAAATTCTGACACATGCTACAATGTGGATGAATCTCGAGGACATTATGCTAAGTGAAATAAGCCAGTAACAAAAGGACAAATACTACTGATTCCACTTAAATGAGATATCTAGAGTGGTCAAATTCATAGAGACAGAAAATGGAATGGTGGTTTCCAGGAGACGGAGGGGAGGGAGGAATGGGGAGTTTTTGTCTAATGGAAACAGAGTTTGAGTTTTAGAAGCTGAAAAGAGTTCTGGAGATGAATAGTGGTGATGGTTGCAACAGTGTGAATGTACATCAAGCCACTGAACTCTACACTTAAAAGTGGTTAAAATGGCATGTGTATATTTACCATGGTTTTTTAAATTTAAAAAACAAAACAAAACAAAAAAACCTCTTCAAATATGTGAAGGCAACCATCATGACCACACAGAGTAATCTTCAGAGTGAACAGATCTGTTTCCTTCCACTGTTCATCAGGTGACATGAAGTCCAGTCATACTGTGGTCACTCTCCTCAGAATATTCTCCAGCTGCCTATAGCCCATTTAATCCATGGGCCATAGACCTCAACATAACACTGACCAGTTAAGAATGGAAAAAAACTCTTTCCGTGTCTAGCGCAGCCATGGCTCGTGGTCCTAAGAAGCACCTGAAGCGCGTAGCAGCTCCAAAGCATTGGATGCTGGATAAACTGACTGGTGTGTTTGCTCCTCATCCATCTACCGGTCCCCACAAGCTGAGGGAATGTCTCCCCCTAATTATTTTCCTAAGGAACAGACTTAAATATGCCCTAATAGGAGATAAAGTAAAGAAGATCTGCATGCAGCATTTCATTAAGATTGATGGCAAGGTCCGCACTGATATAACCTACCCTGCTGGTTTTATGGATGTCATCAGCATTGACAAGACTGGAGAGAATTTTCATCTGATCTATGACACCAAGGGTCGCTTTGCTGTTCATCATATTACACCTGAGGAGGCCAAGTATAAGTTATGCAAAGTGAGAAAGATCTTTGTGGGGACAAAAGGAATCCCTCATCTGGTGACCCATGATGCTCGCACCATCCGCTACCCTGATCCCCTCATCAAGGTGAATGATACCATTCAAATTGATTTGGAGACTGGCAAGATTACTGATTTCATCTAATTTGACACTGGTAACCTGTGCATGGTGACTGGAGGTGCTAACCTGGGAAGAATTGATGTGATCACTAACCGGGAGAGACATCCTGGTTCTTTTGATGTAGTTCATGTGAAAGATGCCAACGGCAATAGCTTTGCCACCCGGCTCTCCAACATTTTCATTATTGGCAAAGGCAACAAAGCATGGATCTCTCTTCCTCGTGGAAAGGGTGTCGGCCTTACCATTGCTGAGGAGAGAGACAAGAGACTGGCAGCCAAACAGAGCAGTGTATAAAATGATCTCTAAGTGACGTGATTGGGAAAGTCTTTGTACTTAGAGATAATACTACATAATTAAAAGCCTCTTTAGTGTTAAAAAAAAAAAAAAGAATGGAAAAAGCCTATTATCTCCCTCAGTCTCATTACTAGACTATTATTACTGCAGCCAGAGATCACTGTTAATTCCTATAGTGTTAATTGCCCAACTAAATCCCTAAACGCTTTTTTAATGTGCCACCACTAAAACCTTCTGTTAGTTAGAACTCTTGCAGTGATTAAAAAGAAAAACACATAAAATCTATGCAAACTGACTTAAGCAAAAAAAGAAATTTATTGGGACATGTAAATGTTCCAGAAATGGTGCTGGCTTAAGGTATGGCTTGATTCAGGAATTCAAATGATGTCATCAGGTCTCAATTATTTCTTTCTCTTAGCACAGCTCTGCTCTTCTTGTGTTGTCTTCATTCATAAGCTCTCCACCCATAAGATGTCCCCCCCCATAACTCCCAGTTTCATGGGTGGTAGAACAAAACTTGTTCCCAGCACTCCCAAAATATCCAAAATATCATTGCCTTTTATGGGCTCTGATTGAGGCACATCCCTGAACCAATATCTGTGGCCAGGATAATGCTGGTGCTGAATGGCTAGTTCTAGGTCACATGCTCTGGCCCTGAGCAGGAATGTAGTCAACTGCCTGTGCTGAAAGTGGAGAGGAGGTGGTCCCTAGAGAATAATCAGGTTAAGGTCACCAGCAGGGTGAGGGGATATTGAGGAACGAAAACTACAGATTCAACCACCCTTCACTTAGTTCAACTGGATATTTCACAGACTAAATGTTTATCCCTATTAAATACAATGTTATTAGAATCCTTCTGGCAAGTTGTTTGGAATTCTAATTCTATCAGGCAATACATTCCTTGTTTCTCTCAGCTGTATGTACTCTACAGTCTGATGAATGTGCCTTACAGATTTTATTGCACTCAGTAATGAACAGGTTATAAACACGTTTATATATGTTATATGAACATGTTGTATAAGATATAAACAGGCTATAAACACAGCATAACTTGAACCTCAGCATACCTCGAACCTCAGCATATCTCAGCATACCTTGTACCACAGCATACCTCAGTACCTCACTTCAGTACTTCTGAAGTGACATCACCAGCATCTATGGATGTGGTCATACAACCAGATACCAGGCCCACCTTTGTGCTTGGGTCTGGACCCTATTTCTTGTGTCCAAAGATATTGTGAGCAATATTCACAAAATGTCTAGACTCCTGGGGGAGTTTCTAATAGAGAGTGAATGTTCTATACAATCTATGGATCTTTTAGCTAGCCCTCATCAGAGAGACCTTTTCCTCTACATGTCCCAGATTTCAAATGCTCTCTAAATTTGCACACTATCAGAAAAAAAAATGGTAACAGTAGTAGTACCAAAGTATATACAGCATTAACTACACACTATGCCCTGTCCTAAGAGCACATAGGATTAAATATTAATTCATTTACTCCTCACAGCAACCTTATGAGATGCATGGTTGTCATCGTCATCATCTCCATTTTAAAGGCAAGGAAACTAAGGCCCAGAGAGGGTAACTGGCCCAAGTTTACACAGCTAATTAGTACAAACTAGGAATTGAACCCTAGTGGTGTGGCTCCAGGGTCCTTACACTCACACAGAAGTGGCATTTGCCTTTCACATCCCTCACTGCTCATTTCCAGCCCTCAGACAAATGTAAAGGTGAGAAGGCTTTAAAAGCAACAGCTACAGTAACAAACCTATCATGGATAAATTAGCGAGCAGCGACTCACTTTACAATGGAGTTTGTTGTTGTAAGTGAATCATTTTTAACGACAAGCTTCTCCTGGGACAGGTCAACTGGTTAAAAAGTCATTGGTGACTTCCCAGAAATACTGGGACTGAGAAACAAAGCCCAACCCTTCCCAACCAAAGGGTTAGGACCACTGCCAACTAAAGATCAATTAGAACTGTAAAGTATCTCTAGCATAATGCCTACACTAGTAGAAAAACGCAATTTTAAAAACTTTTCTTGTACACATATATTTTCCCTGAACCATGGCCATGTGTGGGAGAAATTAAGTAGAGGGGCTTGGCCCAGCACCTCACAAGGGGTGTTCCTGTAAACAAAGCTTGTCTCCCAGCCCTTCCATTGCTCCCCTGGGGTCACTTGACCCACAGTTCTCTTGTCACCTTTAGTAATACTATTAGTTGGTTCAATCATGCACAAAGGTATGATACAGGTGGCTACCAAATTCAAAGGACTTGCATACAGCTGTTTCTTCTGGGAATACCGTGTCATGAAACCTCAGATGGTTCAAACGAAGGGCTTCTGTGAAGGGACTACATACAGAGATGAGCAGGGTTGAAAGGACAATGTTTGTTACCACAGGGAGCCCAGTGAGGGCTGGTTCTGGGGAGGACCCTCCTGGTGGGAGAGAAGCAGCTACTGCTAGACCCTGAACTAGGGGAAAGCAGGAGGAAATGCCCCATCTCTCTTCTCTTCACCACTCTCCTACCAGTGCCTCCCATGGATACTGAGGGCCAGGGGGCCTGGGTGATGTGGTCATCAAGGTTAGCCTTCAGGGTTCAGAGCAAGAGGGAAAGGGTAGAGAGTCCAGCTAGAGAACAGAGAATAAGGAGCACAATATCTCCTTCAAAGGTGGGTAAACTGGGCTTCCCTGGTGGCGCAGTGGTTGAGACTCCGCCTGCTGATGCAGGGGACACGGGTTCGTGCCCCAGTCTGGGAAGATCCCACATGCCATGGAGTGGCTGGGTCCGTGAGCCATGACCGCTGAGCCTGTGCGTCCGGACCCTGTGCTCCGCAATGGGAGAGGCCACAACAGTGAGAGGCCTGTGTACCACAAAAAAAAAAAAAAAAGTGGGTAAACTGAGTCATTGAAAGGGAAAGTAACATATTTCAGATCAAAAAAGAAACCCAGAACCAAGATAAGGGCTCCACTTCCCAATCTGGTCTCACTGATTTCAAATACTTGGAGAGAATCATTAAATCTCAGAGGACACTTAATCCCTCAGACTCCTTCCCAATACATGGTGATGTTACAGCCCACAGTGGCCCACCTTTCTTCAGAAGTGGTAAGGTGCATGTGATCAGGATGACTCAGCCTTCTGCCTGGATTCACCAGAGAGATTTTCATGAATCACTTGTGTGGGTGACGCTTTGGGTGTTGTTATTCTTTCAGTGAATTCTCTCCACACAGTAAGTTTGTCTCTGTTTGATTCATGAAGGTGATTCATCTGAAGAAGTTGACCTGACCATGGTTTATCAGGCAGCATCTAACGGAGATGTCAATGCTTTGACTGCCGTGATTCGGGAAGACCCTTCCATCCTAGAATGCTGTGACGGTGAAGGTGAGCTATTTATGCATTTTGAATCCTGCAGAATATTCTGATCTATCATTTTAGAGATGGCCTCCAGAGGGGAACAATGTTAATAAAATTATATTTGACAAGCTACTTTGATACTGGAGGGTCAAGGAATATCCTGCCTGTAGCCGTGTGCAGGTTCCTCAGTATTTTATTTAATGAGAGTCATGGACACAAATCTTCAAATTCTTTTACATCACCTCTTCTCATGAAGTTATTTGGTTTGAGTTTGTCTTCAACTTCTTTGTATGAGTGACTAAAGTAGATAGGCCAATTAGTTGAAGTTAGAAAACGGGTATGAAAAGAGGAGGCTATTTTTGGCAGCAGTGGATGTTGGGAAAGTGAGGCTATTAAAGCCAGAGAGCAAGGACTTCTGCTTCTGGGAAGATGGAGTAGAAGTAGTACTTTTTGCTTTATTCCTTCTGCTAAATACAACTAAAACTCCTGGACATTGTATATAGCATAAACATAAGAACACTCTGGAAGGTGGAGAGACAATGACAGACTAGCTAGTACCATGGGACCCAAGGAATGACATAGTGGTGAGTTTCCTGGGCTTCCTTTTTGCCTCATACTTCCCAGACTTGGAGCTGAAGAAGCTGACAACATAGGAATGCCAGTGGACAGAGGTCAAAAAAGCCCCCAACAAAAGCCTGCTCTCTAGCCAAAGAACAAGAAAGGGACTGCATAGCAAGAGAGAAAACTTTTAGACAATAATGAGTCTACTCCATCAAACACTACCACCAAAAAAACCCAAAAAACAAAAAACTATGACCCCAACCCCACTCATTCCAGCAAAGACCAAGTGTGGATCCTGGACCTCCACCTTCACACGGTAATGAAGTCTCCATATCCCCACTGCTGAGGCAGTGTCAGAGGAATCCTTCTTGAGAATTAGGACTGTCACCACCACACAGTAATGAAGAGTCTTCTCCCTTAGATGTCAATGAAGACTAAGTAGGGGACTTAGACTTCTAATCCTACCTGGCAATAATGAAGTGGCACCCCCCCCTCACTTACCCTTTGGAGCAGTATCAGAGAAAGCCAGCTAAAATAGAGGATTTAAGTAAGATTTAGGCAACTTATAATGCAATACCCCAAATGTCCAAGTTTTGGTAGAAAATCACTTGGCATACCAAGTATCAGTAAGACCTCAAACTGAATGGAAAAAGACAATAGATGCCAACACTGAGATGACAGATGTTAGAATTATCTGGCAAAGATCTTCAAGTAGCCATGAAAAAAATGCTTCAATGAGCAATTACAAATATGCTCGAAACAAATGAAAAATAGAAAGGCTCAGCAAAGCAATACAGATATAAAGAAGAACCAAATGGAAAATTTTAAAACTGAAAAATACAATAATTACAATTAAAAACTCTATGGCTAAGCTCAGTAGAAGAATGAGGAAGCAGAGGAAAGGATCAATGAACTTGAAAATAGAACAATAGAAATGAAACAAATCTGAACAACTGAAAGAAAACAGACTGAATGAATTTGAAGACAAAGAAGAACAAGGAGAAGAAAAAGGGGGAGGAGAAGAAGAGGAAGAAGTGGCAGCCTCAAGGACCTATGGAACTATAACAAAGGATTTAGCATCGGTTTCTCTATCCTAGTATTTCTAGGAAGTCATTAATGGTTTTTAACCAGTTGACCTGTCCCAAGAGGAGCTTGGGATTCCCTTATCATGACAATAAAATGTTTTGTAAAGTGTGTGGGTGCTCCCTAATTTATCCATGGTAGTTTTTTGTTCCTTCGTTTTTTAAAGCAGAATTACTTGTACATCTGCCTTGGGGTTAGAAGTTGGGAATGAGAAGAGTCAAAGGTTAAACACCACTTGTGTGATAAATACAAGAGTCAGACTGATTGCATTCAACCCTGGCTTGTACTAACTGATTATGAATGGAAACAAAGATACAACATATCAAAATTTGTGGCACATATCTAAAGCAATGCTAAGAGGGAAATTTATGGCACTAAATACATTCATTAGAAAAGAGGAAAAGTATTGGTCAATAATCTAAGTTCTCACCTCAAGAACCTAGAAAAAGTAGAGTAAAACCCAAAGCAAACAGAAGGGCAGAAGTAATAAAGAGAAGAATAGAAATCAATGAAATTGAAAACAGAAAATAGAGAATATCAATGAAACAAGAAACTAATTCTTTGAAAAGATCAATAAAATTGACAAACCTCTAGCAATAATGACAAAAAGAAAATGTAAGAAGACACAAATTATCGCTATCAGGAATGACCCTGCAGATAATAAGAAAATACAACAAGCCACTCTGCACACATAATTTGAGTATTTAGATGAAATGGATCAATTCCTCAAAAAAGATAAACTACCACAGTTCATCCAATAGGAAACATTATTGGAATAGTCCTATAACTATTAAGGAACTTAAATTCATAATTTTAAAATTCCCAGAAACAGACATCATCAGGCCTAGATGATTCCACTGGAAACTTCTACAAACTTTTAAATAAAATTCATATCAACTCTGCATAATCTCTTCCAGAAAAGATACGAGGAGGAAATTTTTCCTGGTTATGATTATGAAGCTAGTATTACTCTGATATCAAAATGTGACAAAGCTGATACAAAAACTAAACCTACAGACCAATACTCCACATGAATACGGATACAGACATCCTTAGCAAATATCAGCAAATAGAATTCAGTAATATATAAAACTAATTATATACCATGACCAAGTGTGACTTGTTCTAGGAACGTAAGTCTATTTCAGTACTTGAAACTCAATCTGTGTAATCCATCATATTAACCAGCTACAGAAGAAAAATCACATGATCATATCAGTGGATGCAGAAAAAGCATCTGACAAAACTTAGCACACATTCATGATTAAAAACTCTCAGAAAATAGGGATAGAGGGGAACTTCCTCAATTTGATAAAGTGTATCTACAAAAAAACTCTAGAGCTAACATTTTACTTACTGGTGAAAGACTGAATGCTTTGCCCCTAAGATGGGCAACAAAGCAAAAATGCCCTCTCTCCCTCATATTCAGCGTAGTACTTAGCCAGTGCAAAAAGGCAAGAAAAGGAAATAAAAAATGAAAAGCATACATATTGAAAAAGAAAAATAAAATGGTTCGTTTTTTGCACAGCTTGATTATCTACATAGAATATCCTAAGGAACCTACCAAAAACTCCTGCAACTAGTGAGTTGAGCAAGGTCACAGGACACAAGATCAATACACAAAAACAAATTTATTTCTATATATTAGAAATGAACACATGGACACCAAAATTAAAACCACAATGCCAAGTAAAATCACTCAGTAAAGAATATTTAGGTGTGAATAAAACAAAATACATGCAAGACTTCTATACTGTAAACTATAAAATGCTGATGAAAGAAATCAAAGATCTAAATAAATGGAGAGACATACCATGTTCACGGATTAGAATATTCAATATAGTAAACATGCAATGCTCCCCAAATTCTTATACAGGTTTAATGCAATTTCTATCAGACTCCAGCAAGATTTTTTTTTTTGTGTGGATATAGACAAGATTATCTAAAATTTATATAGAAAGCAAAGAAACTAAGATAGTTAAAACAATTTTGAAAAAGAAGAATAAAGTGGGGGCTTCCCTGGTGGCGCAGTGGTTGAGAGTCTGCCTGCTGATGCAGGGGACACAGGTTCGTGCCCCAGTCCGGGAAGATCCCACGTGCCACGGAGCGGCTAGGCCCGTGAGCCATGGCCGCTGAGCCTGCACGTCCAGAGCCTGTGCTCCGCAACGGGAGAGGCCACAACGGTGAGAGGCCCGTGTACCACAAAAAAAAAAAAAAAAAAAAGAATAAAGTGGGAGAGAATCAGCCTACCCAATTCCAAGGCTTACTATATAGCTACAGAAATCAAGACTATGTAGTATGGGCTGACGGATAGACACATAGATCAGTGGGAAAGAACAGAGAACTCAGACTCACACAAATATGCTCAACTGATATTTGACAAAGGTGCAAATATAATTTAGTGGAAGAAAGCCTCTTCAAGAAATGGTGCTGGAGCAATTCAACACCCATAAGCAAAATATAAATAAATAAAGAGGAAGGGAGGGAAGGAGGGAGGGAGGGAAGAAGGAAGGAAAGAAGGAAGGAAAGGGAAGCAAGGAAGGGAGGGAGGGAGGGAGGAAGGAAGGGGGAGGGAGGGAGGGAAATAAGGGAAAAGAGGGAGAGGGAAAGAGAGAAGAGAAGAAAGAGAAGGGGAGAGAGAGAGAAAAATTTTGCCACTATTTAAGACAGAGCACTTCATTGATGCTTTTACCCAGTACAGACGCCTGGAAGAATATTAGAAGGCAGAAATTTGGAGAGAAACTGGTTTGCTGGCTGCAATCTTTCAATAAGAACTGTAGTCCTGGAATTTATCCATTCTCAGGGATCACTGAGGTCATAGTTTGCAGTTCACCTGGAGAAGAATTATAACCTCTACATGAATCTCCAATCAAAAGACATCTAAACAAGTCTCAGCTGGGAAAGGGATATGTCTTACATTGGTTTCTTCACCTGAAGGAGTGTGAAGCACCTACCTGCATTCTGCCTCAGCAGTATGGCTTGTTCCAACAGCCCTGCAAAGTTAATCAGAATGTGTAATTTCATCTCTGTTTTTATTCAGGAAGAAAACACACGAAAACCAAATGTGGCCTATATTGATTCCAAAAACAGAAAAGTATTTCAGTAAAAGTGGCCACTTTTAGCAAGAATTTGTACAACCCAAGGCTAGGCTACCATCACTGCCCTATATCACTTACCACCTCCAATAAATGTGTGCTGCACCTGTCTGCCTGGCTAGCATTGCTTTCCAAAGTTACTTCCAGATTCTGCATTGTTCAAACCAAGTCAGGATAAACCTGCCTGTTATGTCCCAAATTATGCTGATTCCCAAGGTAGTAATAAGCAAATTTTATCATCTGCACAAAATGTTTTAATCAACCAATTACAGCAAAATTACAAAAGATTTAATAGGGTGTGAAAAATGCATAGTTTATATAAATGTAGCAACAATCATCATCTCTCTTCAGCTCAACAGCTGAGTTTGTGTTGAGGGTAGTTCATCTGCAAAGAGCATAATAAATGAACAGGAAAATAAAGTCTACTCATAAATTTCACAAGTCAAACATTTTTTTTCATAACATGTTATATTTTATTTTTTTAACATCTTTATTGGAGTATAATCGCTTTACAGTGGTGTGTTACTTTCTGCTGTATAACAAAGTGAATCAGCTATACATATACATATATCCCCATATCCCCTCCCTCTTCCGTCTCCCTCCCACCCTCCCTATTCCACCCCTCTAGGTGGTCACAAAGCACCGAGCTGATCTCCCTGTGCTATGCGGCTGCTTCCCACTAGCTATCTATTTTACATTTGGTAGTGTATGTATGTCCATGCCACTGTCTCACTTCGTCCCAGCTTACGCTTCCCCCTCCCCGTGTCCTCAAGTCCATTCGCTACGTCTGTGTCTTTATTCCTGTCCTGGCCCTAGGTTCATCAGACCCTTTTTTTTTAGTTTCCATATATATGTGTTAGCATATGGTATTTGTTTTTCTCTTTCTGACTTACTTCACTCTGTATGACAGACTCTAGGTCCATCACCTCACTACAAATAACTCAATTTCATTTCTTTTCATGTATGAGTAATATTCCATTGTATATATGTGCCACATCTTCTTTATCCATTCAACTGTCGATGGACACTTAGGTTGCTTCCATGACCTGGCTATTGTAAATAGAGCTGCAGTGAACATTGTGGTACATGACTCTTTTTGAATTATAGTTTTCTCAGGGTATATGCCCAGTAGTGGGATTGCTGGGTCATATGGTAGTTCTATTTTTAGTTTTTTAAGAACCTCCATGCTGTTCTCCATAGTGGCTGTATCAATTTACATTCCCACCAACAGTGCAAAAGGGTTCCCTTTTCTCCACACCCTCTCCAGCAGTTACTGTTTGTAAATTTTTTGATGACAGCCATTCTGACTGGTATGAGGTGATACCTCATTGTAGTTTTGATTTGCATTTCTCTAATGATTAGTGATGTTGAGCATCCTTTTATGTGTTTGTTGGCAATCTGTATATCTTCTTTGGAGAAATGTCTATTTAGGTCTTCTGCCTATTTTTGGATTGGGTTGTTTGTTTTTTTGATATTGAGCTGCATGAGCTGCTTGTGTATTTTGGAGATAAATCTTTTGTCAGTTGCTTTGTTTGCAAATATTTTCTCCTGTTCTGAGGGTTGTCTTTTCATCTTGTTTATGGTTTCCTTTGCTGTGCAAAAGCTTTTAAGTTGCATTAGGTCCCATTTGTTTATTTTTGTTTTTATTTCCATTTCTCTAGGAGTTGGGTCAAAAAGGATCTTGCTGTGATTTATGTCAAAGAGTGTTCTTCCTGTGTTTTCCTCTAAGAGTTTGATAGTGCCTGGCCTTACATTTAGGTCTTTAATCCATTTTGAGTTTATTTTTGTGTATGGTGTTAGGAAGTGTCCTAATTTCATTCTTTTACATGTAGCTGTCCAGTTTTCCCAGCATCACTTATTGAAGAGGCTGTCTTTTCTCCATTGTATATTCTTGCCTCTTTTATCAAAGATAAGGTGACCATATGTGCATGGGTTTATCTCTGGGCTTTCTATCCTATTCCATTGATCTACATTTCTGTTTTTGTGCCAATACCATACTGTCTTGATTACTGTAGCTTTGTAGTATAGTCTGAAGTCACAAGTCAAACATTCTTAAAAGCTGTTGAAATGTCTCGTTCTAGGATGTACACCCTTAATGCATGCGGTTTCTGGACGTCAAGTGGACACAGTGAAGCTGCTGTTGAAGATGGGAGCCAATATTAACATGCAGGATGCTTATGGCCGCACAAGTCTATGCCTGGCAACCTATCTGGTACCAACTGTGTCTGTGGTGGCTGTCAAAGAGTGGGGTGGACTAAATGTGTTGTTATGGGGCCCCACTTGCAGAAGAGTGTTCTTAGATTTGTGCAGCTGGCCAACAGAAATAGAACTTAAAAGTTTTGCTTTAATAATGTCCAACATTTATATAATGACTTAGAGTTGGTTTCATGGATTGAAGTCATTTTGGATCTTCCTAACAATCCTCTAAGTTAGAGGTGATATTGCCATGAGAGAAATATTCTTTTCCATCTTAATTGCATCAGAATTTCCCTTGGGGCATTTCTCAGCACACTTGGTACTCCTAAGAATGCCCTCTGTTAATACCCTCAGTGGGTGGTAACACTTGAAGCTGCAGTTAACCTCTTTGGGGTAGGATTAGTTGAGTGGAAGCTGAAGGATGAGCAAAGTAGAGAACAATGAGAACTGGGAAGAGTGGTGGGTAGGGAGTAGGGGAGAAATACCAGTCTCTTAAGGACAACACCAAGCATAGGATTCAACCCACAATCAGTGCCTAACTTAAAAATTACACAGAGCCAGTCCTCAACACGAGATTTCAGTCTGGCATTTCCCAATATTAGCACAAGCTTGGTAAAGCCTTACTGAAAATCTTCAAACCTCTCTCCTCTCAAATCTTCCCTGTAATCCTTTCGGGAGACTCCAGGGCTATCTTGAGTCCAAGTCAAACAAGTCCTCCTTGTTGCCACACGAAGGTCATCATTCTCCCTCCTCTCCAACGTGGCTCCTGCAAATCTTCATCATAACCACTGTTGCTGCCGATGCAGCTTCTTGCATTTGCTGTTGCTGCCCATTGACAGTGGTGGATTCACCCACGGTGTCCTGAAGCTGCCCTGGACAAGTAGAACACTTCCCTTCCCCAAACACCACACCTTCCTGCTTGCAATAAAGTGTTGCCCAGTCCTCACAGAGATTTTCTTTAGACACTACTCTTTCATTTCTTATTTGCATGCCCTCTTTCTCTAGGACTCACACATGAAACTGGGAAGAACTTTTCAAAGTGTTGGGGTGCTTGTTTCAAATGTGGGTTCCTGGATTACACTCTAGACCTCCTGAGTCAGACACTCTGGGAGCAGGACAGGGGTTATGGGTGGAGAGAGAAGTGCCTGCACGTTAAACAAATCTCCCCAACAATTTTTATGCCCATTCAAGTTTGAAACACACTGATCTGTGAGTACTAGGTGAAGTCCAGTGTCTCAGACAGACTTATGATGGCCTTTCCGGTCCCCCTCCCTTCTGGCACATGCCCTAATAACTGCTCTTGCTGTAGGGATTTTTGGTGTCTGAGATGAGGAAAAGAGAAAATTTGGATCAGGGGATGGAGGAAGGGAATAGAGATGGTTTCTAAATTTAACTGCCGCTAGCATACAGAATAGAGTGAAACCAAGCTACACTTCTTTCAAAATTCTAAAATTCAAAATTTCAAATTTCTTGGGCTAGGTAGCACTTAAGGGACTGGGAAGAAGTTCTCCTCTAGATCACAGTGAACAGTGAGCCTAGCGAGGTGCCACCGTTGCATACAACTCGTTCTAGGAACACATTCTAAGGAGCTGCATAGGGAAGTACGCCAGCATGACAGCATGGGCATTACCCTCTTACTGTTGACCCCACCTCTGTCTGGCAGCCCAAAGCAGGGCCCCTCACTGGCTCTCCTGAGGATCCCTGGGAAAGTGAGAGTAGGTGGTATCTTAGTGATTACACAGTGAAGCCCACCACTCCCTCTGGCAATGTTTGTATTCAAGTATTAAAGAGGAACTAGGCAAAGGGAGCACTCAGAAACTGTCTCAGTCACAGCTTCAAGCTCAGTATACAAATAAATTTACCATAGCTGTGTGATCCTAGGCAAATTTCTTCACCTCCTTATGCCTCTTTCCTCATTTGTAAAATGTAGTAAAAATAATACCCTAAGTTTATCACTGTTGAAGGAGAACCACATGCAGAATCACCCAGAACATAGTAGGTCGAAAACATATTTGTTGGTTCTGAATAGTGACCATGGGTTTCAGATGAAGTCAATGGTTTTCTGATTTCTTTTCTGAAGAAAAGAAAGAAAACCACATACACCCATAGTTCCAGGAAATGTTGCAAAATGATAAAAATGTTTCAAACCCTTCCGCATCAGAAGATTTGTTTTTCAAAAACTGTAAAACTTTGGCCACTCAAAAATTTGGCAACTCTGAAATTTGTCCAGCATGCCTTTCTTTTGGGTCTCCTGGCCATATTTTTCCCTTTTAATCAGAAAACTTGATGATGGGCATTAGGAACTAAAACCAGATTTAATACATTAGTAAACTATGAAAATTATTTGCTTCTACTTAAGACAGATATTATTGGTCAGTTCTACAAAGCCATATTCAATTTTAGACCCTATGAATTTTAATGTGCTTTTGTAGAAAGATTTTTTTTGCAGACTTTTCAGAACCAAAAGGTCTTTTCTGATGATTATCTTTTTTTCTCCTCCATGCATTTAGTAACATTTTTATTGCTTCCAGTACTGCATGGGAAAATCTTCAGTAATCTTTCTCTTGTTACTGGGTAATCTTGAGGCTTAACTATACAAGAACGGAAGAAGGCAGGAAAAAATAGAGCTTTATTATATTATTCTTCATAATAATAATTTCAGTTACTCATAGTTATTATTATACTCATATACTTCATATAAGTATACTTATATACTTCATTTACTTATAAGTTTACTTCTAATTAGGTGAGTAACCCAAATGATTCTGGATGAATGTAGGAGGTGTCCTCCTTGGCATGTGAGCCAAACTCAGTTATCAGCAGGGTTGGGTCAGTTACTTAAAGTATTAACAAACAGAAAGGGAGGACTAGCCTGCAGTTATATTTTCCCTTTGAAATAGGAGAGACAGTGGAGAAATGACCCAGCTGTAAGTGCTAACCAAGGAGGGACAAGCATCAGATGTGGCAATATCAGGTCTCAATCTGGTGAATTAGTAGACAACAGGGAGTTCAAAGGAAGTTTCTTGGGGAATTTATAGGGGGATAAAACACAACAATGGGGAGCCCTTAGAGGGTGCTGGTGATAGCCCCATATTCAGCAGCAGAAAGATCAGTCAACAGGGTGGCAGGGTCCCAGCCATTGGAGTAGGGCTTAGTTTAGAATTCCAGGCATCAGGAAGGGGACTGACTAGAATAAGCAAGATATTATCTTTGTGGTTACTAGAAAAAGAACTTGGAAAAGAGGACGAAGGACCATTTATCAGATATAGATGAATTGAGGCATCGAGTGGAGGCTGTGACTCAAGAATGACATAGGAGCCCAGTTTTGGAATTGGACAATGACATCCAGGTCAGACCATTGACGAGCATGATTTGGAGCTAAGCCCATAGAATGAGGGTCTAGAGCTGATTAATCACCCCCATCACATTGCCACATTTGGCTCTAGGAACTGGGTATAAAAGTGGAATGCCAGCAAGTGGCCCTAGAAATGGGGAGGCAGACGCAGAAGAGTCTAGGAATCAGTCTGCATCTTACAGGGTAAAGGTCTCAGAAGACTCAGGAATCCACACCTCAAGACCTTCAGCCCTCTGTTGTCTAAATGGGAGTTATGGTCCTTAACCAACCACTTCAGGTCCAGTAGAACATGTTTTTAGCCAAACCAAAGAAGAAAGGGAAAGAAAACTGGAGAAAGTTTGTTGGACTCTGTTACTATGTTATGCGAGATTGTGTTATATAACGATGCTCTTGCTTTTCCAGGGTTGGCTGGAAGGCTGTGTGAGTCTACTAAGAAATGGTGCCAAGCACAATATCCCTGATAAAAATGGCCGTCTGCCACTGCACGCTGCCACCGCTGAGCCCGATGTGAGGTACGTAGCCAGGTTCACACGACGCTCAAGTTGGGAGGCACCCAACTTGGATTAGAAGGTCACCTAATCCAATCCATGTGGCAAATAAAAACAAAATCCATCCATTTTTTTGGTATTTGCAGCAGACAGGACCCCATCTCAGTGAATCAAAATATCCTGGAACAATCTCAACTCTAGTTTCAATCCCAGTTTTACTTCGATAAAACCCTTTTCTCCTAGTCTCTGATTTAAGAAGAAATGCTGTTTGTCATCATCTGAATTTCTTATATTCATTCATTCAATTAATCAGGCAATTATTAACTGAATAACTATTTATTGAGTGCTTATTGTGGACCAACCACCGCTCTAGGCCCTAGAGTTCCCCAGTGGGCAAGCCAGTGTCTCTGACCTCACAGAGCTTACGTTCTAGTGCAGGAGTTAAGTGGCACAGTAGTAAACAAATAAATAGGGTAATTTCAAATAGTGACGAGTGTTGTGATGGAAACCAAACAGGGTAAGGGAAGGTTAATGTATGAACCCAGAGTCATGCCAACATTTATGGGCTGGAAGGAGGCAAAGACCCAGCAAAGGAGACTGAGACAGGGGTACCAGTGGGTGAGAAGGAAAACCAGAAGTGTGTGCTGCTGGAGACCATGCAAAGAAAGCCCTCAAATAGTTGGATGATTGAGGTCACCTTTTTGTAAGACGATTGAGCAACAAAGGAAAAAGCTTTGCCCAGACCAAGTGTAGCTACCCCAGGCCTCTGTATCCAAGTGGCCTGGGTCCCCAGTCTTTCGAAAGCCCCTCCTGGCAGCTTGATGACAGCACACTTCCCACTGTGGAATCAGCAAGGTTCCGTTCCAGGCACTTCCTGAACCTCTGCTGACAGAGCAGGCCTCTGACAGGAACTTCACACTCCCCAGAGCTAGGCTGCAGGCCAGCAGCACGGTGGGTGCATTCTGCTGCCTCCTTCAGACTCTGTGTTCAGAAGTAAACTGAAGCCATGCGGGGGTTGAGGAGACCAAGGCCCCTTCCAGGTTGAGAGGTAATAGGATTTCTTCATTTCAGTCTGTTTACACTAAAGTTAAAGGACTTGGGAAATTCCAGGACTATTCCCAACCAAGCCTTGCCTCTTATTATCATTGGATCATATCCAGGAATAATAGAAAACTAGGATTTACTCAAAGCCCAACAAAACAGGGAAGTTTAGAGAAGAAACAGCAATCCCAGAGCTAACAATCAGTAGACATCATAAAAAGATGACTGCCTTTTGATGAAAAAAGAGTGACTTTTCTAGACAACCCACAAAAATATTTAGTCACAAAATCATACTGTCTTCCCAAGAGTAATCTTTAGAACATACATTTTAAACGTACCTTTTAAGACTCTTCTGCCCCAATTTACTCCACTTAGATGATTTTTACCTGCCTCACTCAGAGTAGTCATTTCAAAATCTACCTGATTCTGGAAAATGAACACCTGCTTTAGTTACGGGAATCATACCTGTTGTAACAAATAAAACCCAAAACTTCAGCATTTTAACATAATAAAAGTTTAGTCCAATATATGTTTCCTGGATGGGGGCAGGGAGCCTCCCCTCCACAGGTAATTCAGGGATGCAAGCTTGTGGCTTCATCATCTCCTAGCATCACAGAATCCTTTTTGTTTGGCCTGCAGATAGGGTAAGAGGAGCTTAGATAAGCCTTACTTATTTCTTTAAAATCTCAGCCTGTGAATGACACAGTTCACTTCTGCTCACATTCCATTAATAAGGATGAGTCATTTGGCCATAAAGAGCGGTGGGGAATATAGTCCCTGACCAAGAATCCACCTTCTGGTGATGATTCCAATCCAAGAAAGGGGGACAAGAATTTTGGTGAAAACCTGGCTCTGCCATTAAACCATTGCACCTGAGGGGTGAACTAAGCCTTGGCAGTCAGAATCACACTCAGGATCAATTTGGTCAATAGATTTGGTTCATCATTTGAAATCACTACAATAATATATTAAAAACTAAATGTACTTCCTCTTTTGTGGACTTATTAGACTATTTCTTATTATGCCCAGCAGTGCCCCTAGACTCTCTAGGATTTACATTACATCACTATAACTGAGATAACACAGAGCTGTGGCTTCCCCTTCTCATGAAATTGTCCCAAATGACCCAGTCACCACCTTAGGAAGAGCTGAAGCCAGAAAAATAAACATCCTCTGTGTGCTGATGATATAGCTTTATTGTCCTAAATGGACAGTTAGCTGATTCTGGAAGATAAAATCTGCTTTTGTTATGGTAATGCTAGCTGCTGTAACTAGTAAAACCCAAAGGTTAAGATTAAATATTCCAAAACCAAAATTATCATACCTGTTAAATGTTCTCCGAAAATGAATTGGGTTAAACCTTAACAACTGTCGACTGAAAAAAAAAAAAAAGTACAACGTGAGAGTTGTGAGTTAAGTTTTATTTGGGGCAAAATGAGGACTTATAGCCCAGGAGAGAGCATTTCAGATAGCTCTGAGCAACTGCTGCAAAGGGGTAGGGGGGAAGGTCAGTATATATGTGATTTTAGTGAAGGGGGAGTACGTGCAGTCCAGCACACAGTTTTGCAGAAGGTTGCTGCTGGTCACGAGGAGCAGACGTCCACATGAAAGATTTTAGTGCTTTTCTAGATATGAGGAGATGCAAGAATTGGGCTCATAAAATCTTCTCCTGAAAATATCTGAAGGCCAGTCCTGCCAGTTTTTCCCGGAGCACAGAGTGCCTCATTCCTGATCTACCCTGAACTCCTTTCAGGGGGTGTTGAAGGTCAGCAGTCTCAGCAGCTTGTGATTTCATCCTTGTAGGGATAGATGGCAAGTGCCAACCTTTAGTTTGACACAACCCATATAGCAAATCAACTGGCTTTGTTACCTAGAGAACATTTCAAAACTAGCTTGACTGAAAGGATTCCTTATGGAATTACATTGCTTAAAATTAGATATTTTATCATTGTTTTACTGAGAAATTGTATGGCCGTGGCAGAGTTTGATAACATCTGCATTAAATCCTTCAAGCCGAAACTAACCGCACCAGAGAAGTTGGACTTCAGTTGCCCATTTGTTTGTGTGTCTGCATGAACTCAGAATCGTTTTCTGAGAAAAAAAGTTCTTGGTCTGTCTTATGGGCACTTTCTAATCCTAAAATCATAACGCAGAAGGGAGTGACCTTCCATTAGGCCATGCATACCTGTTTGACTATTTAATTTTCCTAAGTGAATACAACTTTAGGCCAGCTTGTCTGACCATTAAAGCATATAGGTCTGTAGTTACAAAAAGGATGATGATGACAAACAGCACTCATTGTTTATCATGTTCTGAGCAAAGTTCTTAGTGCTTTCCACGTACTATCTCATCTAATCTTTACCACACCTCTATGTGATAGGTAATATTTCTATCCCCATTTTATAGATGAGAAAACTAAGGCATCAAGAAGAAAACTAATTGCATACTGCATGTGTGAAGATAAGTAACCTGCCCAATGGGTCTGCTGTGCTCCTGGAGTCCACTGCTGTGGACTTGTTGAATTTACTTTAATGGCCACATTTTATCATTAAGCCCTCAGTCTACACTGAGAGGCCTTATAAGAAACAGCCATACAAAACTCCTTATTGTCTGATTGTCAGGAAATTTTTTTTTTGTTACAGTGTCCAAAAAAATCTTTTTGAAAAACCACAAGAAAAATTTCTACTAAAGGAGGAATTCCTGTGCTTCTCCTGATAAATTATTTTTTATTTTTACTGTGTGGACACTGTGACTTATGATCATGTTTCTCTCTTTGCATATTTAGAAAACTCAAAGCCTAATTTGTGTCTCACCTCTGGCATGCACATAGGACCATAATTATGTGTTCTTTATCCTGCCCTCATTTTCTCTTTGCCTAGTGTTTTCGCTTGTGATCTTGTTTTACTATATGTATCTGAAAACCACCTAAATTCCTGTTTTGGGATTGAGGTAAAGGGTGGCCAGGAGTGCCAGCTCAGGAGTCAGACTGACTGAGTATGAATCTGGCTCCGTATCTTACCACATTATCTTGGGCAAGTTAACATGTCAAGGTTCAGCTAGCTTTCTTTTCTAGAAAGTAGGAATAATACAGTACTTACCTCATAGGGAAGTAGGCAAAAGTAAATGAGAAAATACGTGGAAAGCACTGAACACTGTCAATTGTCCATGTTCAGTAAGTGTTAGTGGTGATGATGAGGGTGATGATATCGATGATGAATAAAATACCGTAGATCAGCACTAAAGAATGAAACCCTGCTACGGCCACCCACCAGCTCTCACCCTGGCCTTCTTCACCTTAGCACACACAGGTCCACAAAAAATATATCTGCACACACAGGTGCATGCCCACACAGTCCTGCACCCACTGACATGAGCACACATGTACTGCGAAGGTCATCAGGGTATGAACAGCGCTCCCATTTGTATTAACCTTGGGACATTGTAGAGCATTGCAAGATTTTAGAACCCAATGAACATTAGACTCAACCATTCAGTGTACATGCATCTATATTTTTCCTCTAATCATAAGCATATGTACCAGCCACTTTGTGGCCTTGTACTCAGGTATTCATACTCCTTTTAAAATCCACTAACTCCTATATTTCCAAACAGCACACTCCTTCCACTCGGTGCTTGCTGGAGACTATTTAGAGTGAAGTCTCAAACTGAAGCTGCTTATAAACAAGCCAAGGGGACACTTCAATTAGCCCTTTGCCTCCAGAGAAATTTTGGTTCTCTGATGGAAACAACTCACTAGCAAACCAACCAGTGGCAATATACAGCCTTAGCTAAGCTACATCGCTGTGGGAAATCTAAGCTGCTGCCAGGATGAAGGACCTATAATTAAGAACACGAAGGCAAGCTGGATGTACAAAAGCAAAGGAGCACAGGTTTCATCTCATGAGTCCCCTTCCTGCTTTGAATGCTCTGCTTCTCAGCAGGTCCGAGTTTTCTCCCTTTCAGCTCCCTATTGCTTTTCTTGCTTCCTTGGCTGGGACATTCAGAGGGCCTCCATGTGAAAGAGGGGGCATGATCATTAAGATAGAGCTCCAAAGAGCACGCAGTTGTGTTTGTACAACACTGCGCATGCTAGAGTTGCAAGGCGAGCAGCGATTTCCTCTGAAAGCAGCCACAGGGCTCTCTGAAAGTCTTTTTTATGGTCTCCATGGTTACCAGCAGATTTTTTTTTTTTTTTTTCCTGCCAGAGTGCCAGCAGCTCTGCCTCTTTTCATTGCTCTTGACTACAGCCAGAGGGAGGAAGGAAATCATTTCTTTGGGGTCCTATTCTCTAGTTTCCAGGTGATGCATTCTAACCTGCAGTGGATGTTTCAGGCAGCTTCAGGGACAGGAGAGCAGATGACTGGCTTGGGGACCCTTTTTCCCAGCCATCCCTGGGCTGAGCCCCCTCCAGGACTGTGAGCCCAAGGGGCCAGCAAAACAGAGAAGCTCAAGGAGACAACCCTCCCCCCTTTCCTGGATACATCTAGCTGAGCTCTCTCTGGCCTACCAACCACCTAATGGCAATCACGGGACCCCAGAATATAAAGCGTAGGAGCCTTTTAAGAAATTAATCATTATATAGAATTTATTATAGTATGTAAAGTCCATGTTAAGTGCTTTATATGCTTTGACCCATTTAAAGTTACAACAAATCTTTAAGAAGTAGGGTTGTTATGTTTATTTTACAGATAAGAAAATGTAGGCACTGAGAGTTTTATACCTTGTCCAAGGTCTGGCTGATTGGTGAGGGAGCAGGGCTTCTAATAGAGGCAGTCTGGCTCTAGCCTCTGTGCTCTTATCCCTGACCACTCTGCCTGTCTGGGAAAGCTCCTGCTGGGGACCTGTGCCTGCTGTCCTGGCAGCTGGGATGAGGTGAGCCTTATGCTGTGGCCTGGAGATCTGAGAGCAGAGTTTTAGATGGTGCTAATAGGAAATTGGGCTGGGGGGTCATGGGAGAAATACCCCTGGGTCACCTTAGCACAAAACAGGAGCTCTGAGAAAACAAAACTAAGAGGTCTGCAAGTCCGCTGTTAATTAAGACAGATGTGGGACAGGTATCTTGCAGATTACCTCTGAACCACGGAACAGGATAGAAGCACAAGGCTGGAAAGCAGACACCTGGTTTCTAGCCCAGGCTGGACAACCAGGGCAACGTGTGATGGCCTTGGCAAGCAGTGTAGTGCATCAGGTCATTTGCTCTCATAAAATGAGAGAAAGAGAGAGAGAGAATACTCATCTGTAAATTTGTACCAGCTTTAAAGATCGATGAGTCTCGGTGACTTAGGAGTCAAATGGAGGCAAGCAGTATAGATTGGCATATATCACTCAGGGTCGTGACAGGGAAGACATGAAATAGTAAACGAGATGACTAAGAAAGTTTAATGAAAGACTATTTGAAATTAACTGGCAAGAGATGGTGACAGTCTGCCACCCCCACACCCCTCCAAAAGCAGGAAAATGTTCCTCCCCTAGGCCACAAGAGGTGAGGAAGGAAGCTGTTACTGGAAACCTGCTGAGAGCTGGGCGGTAGTTGTAGTGTAGGAGAGGGGCCACCTGGCAGGAGCCAAGGCCTTTAGTAGAGGAAAAAAATCATTGTCAGAAAGGAAAGTGGCTTCTCTCCTTCCTCCTGCTGGTTCTCCCGCTGACCAAACCCAGTGGGAGGTCAGAGGGCAAGGGACCTGGATGATGAATTATTGGAGGTCAGCCTCAGAGTAGGACATTGCAGGGCAGAGACTGGATCTGAGAGACAAACAGAGGACTATCCAGCACAGGGCTCACCCTGTGACCCTTGGAGGCTCACCCAGGATGTGAGAAGAGGTCTTGATCTCCCCACCCCCATTCTCATCTGGTTAGAGCCAACTTCCCCGAATGTGATCACACTGCTCTGGAGGAGCCCCAGAAGATCCTGTCCGACTACAGCTGATCTCAGTCTGCTCAGGGTTAGCTGAGGATAACCAGATTGGACCACCACTGACCTCTGCTCACTCTCACTCTCCCTCCCCCAGCACTTCGGACCACATGTGCCCGAGAGATTAGACAATGGCCATTAATGGGAGAGAGGGGAAAGAGAGAGAGAGAAAGAGAGAGAAAGGAAAGGGAAGGGAAGAGAAGAGTAGAGGGCAGGGTAGGGGAGGAGAGGAGAAAGGAGAGGAGAGAGAGAGAAGGAAAGAAAGAAAGAAGAAAGATAGTCACCTGTTACCCTCCCCCCCATAAAGCAGCTATAAGGGAAAATATAAAAAACAGCATTAACCAAAATACAGTTATTTTTGTAGCATCTTCCCACCTGACGGAGAAATTCTAGAATTCAGATAGGATAAAGAGATGTGCTGTTTACAGTCATAGACACTGTTCCTTTAAAATCTGTATACTAGGAGTTTTACACCTGTTATGTTATTTAACCCTCACCGCCACCACTGCTGTTATTATCCTTGTTAGAGAAGTGAGGATACAGAAGCTCAGCGAGGTCATGCAGTGGTGAGGCCAGAATTAAATCACAGCAGTATCCTGGCTCCCCAAAAAACAGTGATAAGACTAGATTTAAAACCTAGGCTTCTTGGTTATATTCCCCCTACTGAAGAAGTCCACCCCCATTTAAGTTCTCTTTGTAACACAGTATGATCAATCCCTCTGATTAATATTAAGCAATTTGCTACTTAGGACTTTAGATGTCATCTCAGCTGAGAGACAGTGAAAATCTGATTCAGGAGGAGGCTAAGCCATCTTATTTTTCAAATAATTGTTCCAAAATAATTGCCGAATTTTTTCATTGTCTGCCCGTAGACAATCCTTTATCATCTTGGTGAGTATATTAGTTTGCTGGGGTGACTGTAACAAAATACCGCAGGCTGGATGGCTTAAACAGCAGAAACTTATTTTTTCACAGTTCTGAAGGCCGCTGCTGGAAGGCCAACATCAAGGTGCCAGCAGGGTTGGTTTCCTCTGAGACTCTCTCCTTGGCTTGCAGATTGCCATCCTCTTGCTGCCTCTTCACATGGTCTTTCCACTGTAAGCGTGTGCCTCTGGTGTCACTCTGTGTGTCCTAATCTCCTCTTTTTATGAGAACACCAGTCAAATGGGGTTAAGGCCCGCTGTAATCCTTCATTTTAACCTAATTACCTCTTTAAAGGCTCTGTCTCCAAATACAGTCACATTCTAAGGCATTGGGGGGTTAGAGCTTCAACATATAGATTTGGGAGGGACACAGTTCCTTCTATAACAATGAGTATCCATTGATTTATTCATTCAGCACCTTTCTCAGTGGTTTCCAAATCTGATTGTTTACCAGAATTTTCTGAACAGCTTATTTAAACGGTAGAAGCTATGCTGCTCTCCAGACCTCCTGCATCAGAAACCTTGAATATACAGCCCAGGTAAAAAAAATCTCCCCAGGGAATTCTGAGATGGAGCCAGGGTTAAAACTTCTAGGGTTAAGTATTCTAGAAATAACACTTACTGTGTTCTAGGCATGCTTTAAATGCTGTATGCATATTAACTCATTTAATCCTCACACTGATCTATAAGGTAGGCACTTTTTATTACCCCCATTTTATAGATGAGGATGCATAGGCACAGAGAAGTGAAGTTACTTGCCTGTGGTCACAGAGCCGGTCAGTGACAGGACTGGGATGTGAACCCAGGTAGTCTGGCTCCAGAGTCTGGGCTCCTAACCACTATACTCAACTGCTTCTCTCCCACATATGGAGTACTGACCTCAGTCAACCAAGTATTGGGCCCAAGTGGGATAAGAACTTGAACTTGAGAATCATTGGCAGTTGTTTCACACTGATAACTGCCATTGCATGCTTAGGTATTTGTGCGTTTTAGAAAGAATAAGCGGAAGTTGTAAATGCTGATTGCCTCCAGTACATTTAGAAGGCATGACACGTGTACCTAGTGGTGAAGCAATTTGAAAGCACTCTATAAATTTATGGAAAATGAATAAAAAATAAGCACTGGAGGACTTTGCTTCTTAGAGTGAACGCAAAGGGATACCGTTCTGGTGAGTAATAAGTGTGAGGATTCGCTTCCTCCGTTCTCTTTGGCTGCTCCAGAAGCACTAAGACAGAGAGGAGGTGGGAGAAGAGATAGAAGTCTTCCTCCTACCTGCCTTCTTGTGCCTTCTTATCCATCACACTGGCTTTTTTTCCATGGATCTTTCCCCTAGTAAATGCAAAGGGCATATGGTCATTTGGAGGCCTTCAGCAGACTGTATTTCTAATGTCATGTTCGCATTCAGACTCTGCTCTTTTAAGCCACTTCTCCTGTTTTTCTTTACAGGCTCCTAACAGTCCTGCTACAACAGTCAAGCCTCAACGAGATTAATCAGCAGGACAGTGAGGTGAGCCTGCCCTCTCAAGGAACAGTTGGCATTGTGCATGTTAGGGTGGGAATAAGGGCCTTTCTGAACCACAGTGCTTCCTCTCTTAAAGGTGCAAGGAGGGGGTGGAGCAGTTCTGTGTTCCTACCCTGAGAGGGAAGCCTATGTCTCCGCTATTAATTCAGGAAGAAATTTATCCCTCTGTGGGTGTGGGTAGCTTTTAATAGGGAAGGATTTATTGCATTAAGTATTTAAGCATTTATCATACCACTGAAATTTTATAATTTCCCTTTGGACATTGAGAAATAAATATTGCTCTTTCCTGTCTTCTCAAGTACCAGAAACTTCGATGGCTGCTGACACTCTCTCTTTGAGTGAAAGATGACAGATAGATGATAATTCTAGGCTCCCTGCTCCAGAAGCCACATTATTATTATTTTTTTAATTTATTTTTGCTGTGTTGGGTCTTAGTTTCTGTGCAAGGGCTTTCTCTAGTTGTGGCAAGTGGGGGCCACTCTTCATCGCCGTGCGCGGACCTCTCACTATCACGGCCTCTCTTGTTGCGGAGCACAGGCTCCAGACACGCAGGCTCAGTAGTTGTGGCTCACAGGCCCAGTTGCTCCGTGGCATGTGGGATCCTCCCAGACCAGGGCTTGAACCCGTGTCCCCTGCATTAGCAGGCAGATTCTCAACCACTGCGCCACCAGGGAAGCCCAGAAGCCACATTATTAATGCCAGTGATCACAACTGCTGTTTGCTTTACGTTGCAAGGCAATCCTGTACAAGGCTTCCAACAAGACAGCACAGCACTCCCAACTAAGTTCCTGAGGGAGGGTGGGTCAGACCAGGCAGAGCTGCCCCAAAGTAGTTGAGGGTCTTTTATCTACTTAACTCTTCTAAAAACCAGGTCTGATTTTTATTAGCCAGCCTGATTTCTTTAATAGTTTCTTAAAACTGATTTAAATACCCGATTTTTAAAGGAATTTTTTTAAAAGTAAGCTTGGTTTGACTGCACTAAGAATGTCTGATAACTTTAAGAAAGTCTGATAGCATTGAAAGTGCATATGCCTCAAGATGCCAAGTAACACTGTTTTCAAGACGACCTGGCCATAGACAACAGGATGGGAGGAAGCCCTCTAACAGGGGCGGGCCCCCTACCCCATATTTCTCCTGGGCTGGGCTCCCCATCTTTCTTGAGCCTTCTGAACAAAGGCCTCCTTCCAAAGGGCTTGGCAGTAATGACCACACCAAAAAGCCCCTACATCACAGCCTGGGTCTGAGGTTGGACACCTCCCTGACTCAGTGGGCACATGCTGCTTTCACCCACCCATGTCTTCAGTGGTTTAAAGCAAAACCTCAGATGAGAGAATATTGCACTGTTTTAAACTTCTGCTTTAAAAACGAGAACCAGAGATGAGCAAGTACACTCTGATCACTCTGCCCATGGTGTGAAATCAGGGAGCTTGGGAGCTTGCAGTTTATGTCAGCTGATCAAGAACTTCTAGATTTTGGGCAACTTGCCAACCACTTCTTCCACCTCCAACTCCTGCCTTCACTCCCTCCACTAACTGGGACTTATTAGAAAGGGGGCAAATTCAGTTATTCACACCCTAAAGCTAAATTCCTCTTACAGACATCCAACTCTGTCCCCTCCTCAGTGGAGCTGAACATCCCCTAGCAAAGTGACAGTTCCTTATTTTTTCCCACCCTGGGAGGCCCTTGGCTGGTGGAGACAATGAATGTAGACAAAAATCTTTCTAATGGTGGTAATTGTAACACTTCTCAGATAATATGTGGTAAATATTGGAAAAGTCTCTAGTTCCTTCTCATGCAAAGCAACCTCTCAGAGAACATTCCTCCTGCTCTTACACCAGCATTCTGACCTGTTGGCATTTTTGAGCAGGAGCTTCAAAAAGGACACTTCCCCCTAATGTCGCAGCTTCCTCTTCACACCATGTCACAGCATGTTTGAAATCCATCTGAAGCCAACTACTAAGTCTTCCCTGTGTGTTTCATTAACATATATATTGCTGGTGTGAGCCAATCCACATAAATTTGCAAGGGCTAATTTGCTCTTTGCCATTGGACAAAGGACAGTTCTGAAATGGAAAGAACACGGCCCAGGCTTTGTCATTTGTTACCTTGGAGGAGTTCCTGCATTTGGCTTCTCGTGTTCTGAATAAGCAGTCGCTTACTGAACCCCGCCCCTCCCACAATCACTTTTCCAGTGACTTCCAAGCACAATGTAGTCTCCATCATATATGAGGGGGTAACAGTTAAAGCACACACACACTCTACAGCTGCTAAATAACAGGAAGCAAAAAACAGCAAAGGCAAAAGAAATCAGGGAAAAGGTAAGCGATTGCTGGCAGAACATTATGGTTTCCTAACGACAAGAGGAAAGAGCAAGACACAACCCCTACATAGTGTGAATAAAATTATTTTCCAATAACTGAAGGACTCCCAAGCTTATCACAATAATGGTTAAAGGTTAAATGATCAATTAATAGAAATCTAACTTCATTAAGAGACATATTAGATTGTTAACTGAAACTAAAGAATGGAGAGAGGGAGAGAGGAAGGAAAAAATCTGTTTCTGAAGCCATCCTCTAACTGCTTACATAAAAAAACCATATCTGCCACTTTATATCAGAGAGATGAATATCACTCTAGAGGCTGTCCGGATCTGAGCTCAGTGACTTAAAACATTTTTTGTGTTGTTAGTTTTTACTTGTATAAGCAATACATGAACACATTTGCTTCTTTAAAATTTTAAATATTACAAGTAATACTAGAAGTCCATGATTACTTCCACCCCACCACCTTAGCCCCCAATTGCTATTTGATGTGTCTCTTTCCCAGTCTTTTGTCTTTTTACACTATGTGTGTATATATATATAGACACATAGGCACTATGGAGTATAACATGAAAGATATCTCATGTTATATGTTGTTCTGCAACTTTGATTTTCACTCAAGAGTATGTCTTAGAGTCTCTTGGATATGTTGATGCATATAAATCTGGCTCGTTCCTTTTAATGGCTTCATGATTCACACTATGAAAATACGTCCTTATATTTTCTGTTCCCATATGAATATTTAGGTTGTCTCGAATGTTTCACTGTCACAAACACTACTCTGAATGGTGTTTGTATAAGCCTCCTTGAGTATTTTATATGAGCATTTCTCTAGAAGAAAAATTGTTGGGCAGTAGAGAGTGTACATTTGTGTGTGTGGGAGGGGTTCTATTTTTTTTAATTGAAATATAGCTGATTAACCATATTGTGTTAGTTTCGGGTATATAGCATAGTGATTCAGTACTTTTGCAGATTATATTCCATTATAGGTTACTACAACAGTATAATCCCCTACGCTATGTAGTATATCCTTGTTGTGTATCTATTTTTTTTTACATCTTTATTGGAGTATAATTACTTAAATGGTGTGTTAGTTTCTGCTTTATAACAAAGTGAATCACTTATACATATACATATGTTCCCATATCTCTTCCCTCTTGCGTCTCCCTCCCTCCCACCCTGCCTATCCCACCCATCTAGGTGGTCACAAAGCACCGAGCTGATCTCCCTGTGCTATGCAGCTGCTTCCCACTAGCTATCTTACGTTTGGTAGTGTGTGTATGTCCATGCCACTCTCTCACTTTGTCACAGCTTACCCTTCCCCCTCCCCATATCCTCAAGTCCATTCTCTAGTAGGTCTGTGTCTTTATTTCCGTCTTACCCCTAGGTTCTTCATGACATTTTTTTTCCTTAGATTCCATATATATGTGTTAGCATACGGTATTTGTCTTTCTCTTTCTGACTTACTTCACTCTGTATGACAGACTCTAGGTCCATCCACCTCACTACAAATAACTCAATTTCGTTTCTTTTTATTTCTTTTTATATACAATATTCCATTGTATATATGTGCCACATCTTTATCCATTCATCCGATGATGGACACTTAGGTTGTTTCCATCTCCTGGCTATTGTAAATAGAGCTGAAATGAACATTTTGGTACATGACTGTTTGAATTATGGTTTTCTCAGGGTATATGCCCAGTAGTGGGATTGCTGGGTCACGTGGTAGTTCTATTTGTAGTTCTTTAAGGAACCTCCATACTGTTCTCCATAGTGGCTGAACCAATTCACATTCCCACCAGCACTGCAAGAGTGTTCCCTTTTCTCCACACCCTCTCCAGCATTTATTGTTTCTAGACTTTTTGATGATGGCCATTCTGACCGGTGTGAGATGATATCTCATTGTAGTTTTGATTTGCATTTCTCTAATGATTAATGATGTTGAGCATTCTTTCAC